GGAAACGGAACAACCTAAATTCTAGATTCTAGAAAGAAGATGGCGCGAAGATACTTTACTCCCGTGACTCGAAACCGTCACATTTCAATAGTCATAATAATAGTCGTAATAGTCTTAATTTACATTATTTATCTCGTTCCCGCCGCTGGCGGTAGCTGGGAACCACTCTCCCTCTGAGAATAATTGCAAGTGGAAATTCAAGAACTCGCCAAAGTGGGCTACTCGAGCCAGCAAGCGTGCAAAGTAGCGCGACCGAAGTTCGGTGTCGAGAGGAGCTCAAGACTGTGTCGAGGTGCATCGCGTCTACTGTTCGCGGCCTGTCAAAGGATAGAAGCTCTCTTCGCTTGTATACACGATTTCCCGAGTGGGTTAAGAGCGGGGATTAGATGCGGGTTCCCGCGGGAGGATCGGAAGTATCTCGGATGGAGGCACTCGGCGCGAGTGCGCGAGCGCGCGTTCACGCGAATGACGGAGCATCCCTTTTTCTTTCCGCTGCATTGTGCAAAGTGCACTGCTCTGCTCCGATTATTTCACGCGCATACGAAGCGCGCGCGTGTATGTTATTGTGTATGCAACTCAGTGCACATGTACGCAACGTTGTCATCGCGGTCACTAAGAGTCGACGGCCCTGCCTCGATGCACTCGGCAAGTAACCGAGCCGAGCCGAGCCGAGAGAAGCTTGAGCACGGGGGATGCATCATGGCGTGTGAGCAAATTGCGAACGTGAGTGCGCGCGGGGACGTAACGTGCATTAATAGCGACGGTTAACGAGGAACAGAGAGGGTCGCCGGCTTTAGTCGACTGTGCGGTTAGCGCGGACAGTAGGTAAAAACAGCAGCAGGTTGCCGATCGGTTCTCTCTCTCTCTCTCTCTCTCTCTCTCTCTCTCTCTCTCTCTCTCTCTCTCTCTCTCTCTCTCTCTCTCTCTCTCGGGGGAAACTTATCGGGGGCATCGATCCTCTCGGGTCACCGTGTGGTGGCCTCACCACGCGCGCACTTAATGCACCCACATGTGCGGCGACTCGGCGCTGAGCTGCATCCACCACATCCACCTGCGTTCTCTCTCTCTCTCTCTCTCTCTCTCTCTCTCTCTCTCTCTCTCTCTCTCTCTCTCTCTCTCTTTCTCTCTCTCTCCCTCCCTCTCTCTCTCTCTCTCTCCCTCTCTCTACACACACACACCACGAATCGATGCACGAATACGCTGCTCGTGAGAGAGACAGCACAAGTATCGATGCATAACGCAAATTCGTCTCGGACACGTCACGGCGGCATATGTTGTGTATACGAGTCTTGTCGTAGACGAAATAAATAGAATGCAGCAGATAGAGAGAATTTTCCCATTGGAAAACAAATTCCTCCAAATTGGAGGACAAGATGAAAGAAAGTAATAATGAGCACTCACTTGTAATGAATAATACAATAGCGAGCGATTCAAGCAAAATTAGCGGTGCTTTCCCGGCGATATCTCGTCAGTAAAGCAATGAAAGCATCCAAGTCTTTGCGTTTTAATATTCTTCTTCTAAAACAAGGTAAACAGGAGGAAGTATCTTTTGGAATCATTGCGCTAAAGATCTAGTTCGGTCAATCGTGAAAAAGTTGGTGAGTAGCGAGCGCGCTGCAGGATGATGCCTTTATTTTGTGATCTCAATCTTGAATTTTAAAATTGATCTCAAATTAAATATTATAAATCGTGAATGTTCTCATAAGACCGACAACAACGTTCTTCCTCTCGCAATTACCGCACAATTTCTCAATGATACACCCGCGCGATGGTAATATCATAGTGATGTACGTACGATTGGCTCAAGTGGACTTGTCGAAACATAGGCATAGAAATACGTGTAGATTTTTTTGATATTCTCAATACAGTGTTCTCAATATAGCGGAAAATAACGTCATTTTTATTACATATCTGTAGAGCGCGTATATGCGCGTGCACGCGGGATTACGCCTCTTCTTTTCTTTTTATTAAATTACGTTATACTGATAACACAACACAAAGTGATATTGTAGTTGTATATATATAGATTTACTCGAATACACACATTTACTTTTATATTTCATGGCTAACGGAGATCTTGTCGAATATAAATAGACTCTCTATTTATATGACATATTCTTGTTATATGTTGTTATCCGCACTAATTAACATCTGTGCGACTATATTTGCGTCCGCTTACGTCCGACACATACCTACTACGTTATTATTTATATTGACGGGCACATACGCGCGCGTGCTCGGTGTGCGAAGATCATGCGCGTACAGTGCTAAACTCTATGAGAATACGCATTCGTGTTTTTAATAACGATGCACGGGGACGTGTACACGTGTAATGACGATCTGCGATGTGTCTCTACATTTGTATCGGAAATTAATTCAAATTCAATGAAAAGTTACATAGGTTACGTGGTGTCGATACAATTTAGACACATATTTAAGCAAATGTCTCAATATCACACTTACACACACACACACACACACGCATACGCGCGCGCGCGAGCGCTGTTATTAAAACGAGCTGTTATTAAGGCTGTTTGAATCAATGTCTCTTGTTGTATAAAATTATATATTAAGTGTACAAATAAGTTTTAAAGCGTTCTTTGTGTGACGTATACTGCTGACGTTTACAGATCAGAAATTCTCCCGCGGTTTTGTCACGTTACTGTCCACCGGTCCAGAGTAATAAAAACGACGCAGAAGTTGGCTCAGCATTTAAACGTTCTTAAATATTGATACATGAAAGATGGCAAGCGACAAAGCATTTATCACGTCACTGCATTCGTTATTCGAATTTCACCATGCTGAAAAGGCATGCTGCAAAGGCATGTGCATCGATATGTTCGGTTCTTGGGGAGAATACTAATGTCGAAAAGCACGTGTGAATTTTGGTTCAGGCGTGGTTTAAAGCTGGTGATTTTGAGATTAGCGATCGAGAACGTAGCGGCGCCCCGCAAAAGATTGAACATGAGCAATTGCAAGCATTACTGGATGAGGACTTCGTGCAAACGCAAAAAGAACTTGCTGAACAAGTGGGAGTAACTCAACAAATTATTTCTAATCGTCCACACGCAATGGGAAAGATTCACAAAGAAGGAAAATGGCTGCCACATGAACATGAGTCAGAGGAACAAAGATGAGCGTGTCATGAAGTGTTTGACAAACTGTTAAACAAACAACGTAGGAAATCTTTTCTGTGGAAAATTGTGACGGGCGATGAGAAGTGGATATGGCTCGACAATCCCAAAACGCAAAAAACACTGGGTACATTCCGGTCAAGCAACGACCGAAGAACACCGAAGCGCAATATTCACTCGAAGAAAGTTTTGTTATGCGTCTGGTGGGATATCAAGGGTGTGCTATGTGCTGTACTATGATCTCTTGCAACCGGGTGAAACTGTTACTGCTGACCGCTACAAGCAACAATTGTTGCGATTGAACGAGAAAATCAGTCGAAAACGTCCATTTACTGGCAAAGGATTGGACCCCGTTAAATTGCTCCACGATAACGCTAGACCGCATGTTGCGAAATCGGTCAAGGAAACGTTATTGACGCTTGGCTGGGAAGTTTTGGAGCACCCGACGAGCGATAATTCCGACGTAGCCGCTCTAGACTATCACTTGTTCCGATTCATGCAAAATGCTTTGTCTTCAGTTCGCTTCCGGGCACTTGACGAACTGCAAAAATGGTTTGACGACTTCATCGTCGCATGACGCATCACGGATACTTCTTTACTGTTGGAATCAGTCAGCTGCCTGACCGATGGCAGAAGGTGATAAGACAATGACGGCGCATATTTTGATTAATAAATAAATGTATTGTTCTTTTCTCTCAAATACGTTTTGCATTGTCTTAAAAACGCTTCAAAATTTATTTGTACACTTAATAGATTAATTAATAATCACAGATGTTCTCTCTCTCTCTCTCTCTCTCTCTCTCTCTCTCTCTCTCTCTCTCTCTTTCTCGCTCTTAAAACTGATTACTTATCATACAAATCGCACGCGGACTATGAATAAATTCCAATGTTCGATTCGATCATCTCTTTATTGTCACAAAGTTCATCAAATGTCCTACTATATATAATGAATGAATAAACATATCTCCGAGAACATATGATGTATCGCCGACCATTTTCGACGCCCTGCAAGTTGTATTAAAGTTTCTCCTAGTTTCCGGACATTCACTGGTCACTCACAATATTCGTATAGGTGCGAATAAATTGAAGAAAATACGTACGTTCGCGATACCGACAAGATTCCGATAAAATGCTTCCGTAACCGTGGAAAATTTTTAATGTCTGACGAAAGATTTAAACAACGGATCGACACACGCTCTGCGCAGTATGCGAGGTATGCGAGGCGTTCGGACGTATAGTAACCTACGCACGGAAAACCTACGCACGGAAAACAAAAATCTGTCAAGTGTATTATTACTACAATTTAGTACTCGAGATGGTCAAACGATTAAATTATTAATATAGCGGAACGCAGCGTATCACTCATAATATCGATCGTAATATATCGCTTGTTGAAATGAAGAATGAAAATTGGAAGCGGATGAACGATTGAGATGATAAAAATATTTAAATATAATCTTTTAAATATAAATTTTTTTTTAAACTTCAATGAGACAGTCGTAAGTAAATATTTCTGTCGGAAAATCCTATAGCCTATAGCTTATGTTGTACTTTCGAATTTTCTATTGGCACTTTAAGTTCGATGAAAGCAGCATGCTATATGCTGCTAATGTAGAATTAAACTTTAGACTTAGAAAATGCGCGCGCGATTTAATATTTCGATATCAGGCTCAAGTCTATCAAACCGTTTGTATTTCTGTATATAATTCTATTAAAATTCGCAAATGTGATCGCGATGAGATCATCTTGATTATATAAGAGGATGTTAATGTAAATAAAATGTTAATGTAAGAAAAATTAAGATTAGCATCTTAATTGACACAATTAATCATAATTGCACACACTCGTGTTTCCTCGTGTTTTTAGGACGTCCCTTTTATAAACCCTGCCAATGTAGTGTTCGTGTACATGTTGGTGAAAGAGCTCGTCGATGGAGACGAGGCATCTGAGAAGGAGCTCCAGGCGACGGTACTAACGTGTCTCTACCTGAGCTACAGTTATATGGGCAACGAGATCAGTTACCCGCTCAAGCCGTTCCTTATCGAGGACAGCAAAGACAAGTTCTGGGACCGATGCCTATTGATCGTCAACCGACTTAGCTCCGAGATGCTACGAATCAACAGCGAGCCCGGATTCTTCACAGAGATATTCACTGAGCTCAAGGTACACGCGCTTCATCGGATTAGGACTTTGCTGACAGAATCGATATGATTTTCATTCACGTTGCGCCAACTACAGGCGTGGCATGATTCTTTATTCCTTATCAAGCCATTAATTTTCGAGAATTCTCAATACAGGTAAATTCGACTACTCTTGAATGGAATTACGCGGTCAGTCGCACGTTAAACCGCATATAACATATTTCACGAGTGAAACGAATAAAATCAACTAAAGAGAACGAATGAAGAAATCTCACGTTATTTCTTTAAGACCATACGCGTACGTGCGATGTTAATTATCACTTTTATCACTTTTATCATTCGTAGAACCAAGTTTCCGCATTCTTGGAAAGGAACCGCGTAAAATCCACCCGCGAAGCGTATACATATAAATTCTATTTCTAATCTGAATTCGCACAGGCCTGCGGTGCCAGCGAACGTGGCAGTTTGACTGGCAGCGGCCTCGAACGGAGCCTTGTCGTCTCCGGAGTCGCGGTACCCACCAAGGCAGCTTGACGGAGCTACACACACCTGCTGGTGCGCATCGCCAGGCACGGCTGCGACGTCACGACGCTCTGACGATGGCCATCGCGACGACGAGGAGCCGCGCTCGCAGCTTGACCCCACCGCATCGACCTCGACTTCGGCTTCGACGTTACCTCGCCAGCAGCAGCAGCAGCAGCAGCAGCAGCAGCAGCAGCAGCAGCAGCAGCAGCAGCAGCAGCAGCAGCAGCAGCAGCAACAGCAGCAGCAGCAGCAGCGGCAGCGGCAGCGGCAGCAGCAGCCGCCGCCGCCGTCGCTGCCGTCGTCTCAGCAGCCGCGGTCTAGCCGCGACGACGGCATATTCTGTCCGTCATGCGGCCGACGTCGGCGTGAGGAGATCTCATGGATGATCGAGGATCTGGACGCCATCGAGCCAGCGCCGCTTGAATCGCAGAGAACGCCGACGAAGCTCTGCAGCTGCGAGGAAGTCGACGTGGCCGGTACCAGAGAGCGCGGTGACCGGCTTCGGAAGATTCGCAGTACCGAAGTAAGATGGGCCACCAGCAGCTTCCTGTCGCCCGACGACGCGATCTGGGACTTGAGGAGACGTACCAGCGAGGGTACAGAATTCCGCTGGGAGCTCCACACCTCGAGCACCGACCTGGATCTTGCGAAGAAAACGAGATGCAGCTGCCACAGTCTGACCCCGGAGGAGAAGAAGCCGGAGGGTGCGCAGCGCGGCGATCTCAGGAAGCACCACAGCGCGGAGACGGACAAGTGGTCGGACAGACCGGGCTACCTGCTGACGCCGATGCACGACCTAAGGAAGCACAGCAGCGACGACACGAGATTCGCGAGAGAGGCCAGGTGGCTGCAGGTGCCGGACGTGATGCCGAATCCGAAACCGAGGTGTACCTGTCCCAAGGTGAGGACACCGGCACCGGAGTCACCCGTGCCGGCGCCGACGCCGGCGCCGGCGCCGGCGCCGGCGTCGGCGCCGGAACAAAAGGTCCTCGTCGAGGAGCAACCGGCGGCGCCGGCGGAAAAACTGCCGACGGCGGCGCAGAAAGAGGAGAGAAGACTGTACTACTCCAAGTCACTGACGCCCGAGGAGTCGGCCGCGCCGTGGGAGAAGCCAGAGATGAAGAGGCAAGCCAGCGAGCAGCCGAAACCCATCAGAATCGAGAAGCCCAGGGAGAGACCCAGGCTAGAGCGTTCCGCTCAAGTGAGGAGCGAGAGCTCGAGGAAGTGGGGCCTCAAGGAGAAGGAGAAGATCGTCAGCCCTCAGGTGGAGAGTAAGAAGCCGATACGGGCGAGATGGGCGATGAAGCCGCACGTTTCTCTGCCGGCCGAGAAGAAGGCGCCGAAATGGTATCGCAGTCAAGACGAGACGAAGAGCAAGAGCTTACGCGAGCGGCCCAAATACAGCATACGCAGGAGCATGTCGCCGGAGCCGGATCCGCGGCAGATGAATAAGCTGGAGAACAGGATCGTGCGACGGCTAATCTCGCCGGAGATCACCATCACGAGCACCAGGTGGGCACCATACGAGGACTCGTCGCCGTTACCGACCATCGGGATCAAGAAGCGCGAGCAGAAGCACATCAGCGAGATCAAATGGACGCCGTATGACGAGTCACCGAGCGACATCCCGGTCGAAGTGATCGACGACAAAAAATGGTCGCCCTTCCAGAACGTCACGCCTACGCACTGCCCGCCACCGGACGCGACACCCTGCAAGAGCGACGACGAGCAGTTCCGATGGAGGATGCTCAATCAGGTGGCGCCGTTTCCGCTCTACCAGGGTGGCTGGAGAGACGAGTCGCCGGAGAAGACGCCGCCGAAAAGGGTCACCACGCTCGAGGATCTGTCGCCGCCGGTGTGGTCGCCGATGGTGCCCGCTACGCCTACCAGCAAGCGAAAGAGCGTCGTGCCGCAGCCAGAATCGCCGTCGCGGTATTCACCGTCGTCGGAGCGCAGACCAAGCAAGTCTCGGCTCACCAGGAAGGGTGCGTTCAGGGCGAAGTCCATGGCGCCCACCACTCATCCCTTGGAGGACAGACTGCCGCAGGTGACGACGACGACGGCTCTGGCGCAGCAGCAGCAGCAGCAGCAGCAGCAGCAGCAGCCGCCGCCGCCGCCGCCGCCGCCGCCGGTGATTGTACGCGCCGCCAGTGAGGAGCCCAGGCGACAAAGGCCCCAGCTGATGAGATCCAAGGCTCTGCTGGAGGTACCGGTGCCGATCGACTCTACCAAGAGATCGCTGAGCGAAGAGGGACCCCGTATGCGACCTCGCGAACGCCCGAGAGCGCCCGGCAGAGCCCGCAGCGAGGAGGTATCCAAGTACGGCGATCCCTGGTTCGAGGCCGAGTCAGCGGAGTTGCGCGAATACGTCACCACGGTGTGATCGTAGCTTCCGGGGGATCGTCGCCGGCGGTACCACACACCACCGGGTACTCGAACGTTCGGTTATCGCATCACGTAATCACACCGCGGCAACTCTCGCGGCGTCGCGCGACATGCGTGATGAACTCGTCGCGGTGATCGTTGCTGCACAGGCTTCTCGCCACAGGAGAGATTATTTTCTAATGTCCATTATCCGCGGTTTTATAAAGTTACCGGACGCGCGAGGAATAGCAAAAGAAGCAAAAGAAGAAACGGCGATCGGCGACCGGCTGTGTCGAGACACAGAGAAACTAGTCGACAGGGGACAGGCGTCCCGCGCGCGGAATCGAAACGCGGTCGATTTCCACGTAAGGGCCTCACGAAGAGTACACATACACATAGGCACACACACACACACACACACACACACACTTTCGGAATCATCTAAGAGACGGCTGAGTGCAAAAGAGCGAAATCATTCACAGCGAAATCGTGCGAGTGGATGCGAACAGATTCTAACACTCGATCGTCCGCTGAGAGGCGCCGAAAACTTCGTTGGCCTATACGAAGACTACGATGGAAAATGGCAAAAACGACAAAGAGAAAAAAACTAACAAGCTACATCACTCTGAACATTTGGCATTCGACGATCATGAGAAAGGAAGAGGAAAGGAAAGAGAGAGGAAGAAAAGGACAAAGAAAGAAAGAAAGAGAGCGGAGAGAGAGAGAGAGAGAGGGGGGAGGGGGGGGAGAAAAGGAGAAGGAGAGAATAGGAAAGGACAAGACAAATACAAGCAAACGAGTTTAAAAGAACGAACGAAAATCGAGGCGAGGGGTCAAGGACTGATTATTATTTATAAATAGCGTAATATATACGCGTGCGTTTTGTTGCCGTTGCGGGGATGAGAAACATAGGTATTCCTCCTCAGGTCATGGCATATGAATATTCTCAGCTCAACACGGAATGTAATGTAATCGCGGCCAAACGCGACCGGTGTGCACGACTCGACCGGCGGAATCATGGCGAGGCGACGGCAGCGGCGGCGAGGGCGGCGACAGCGGCGGAGAGAAGCCGACGCTTCTCGTTGCCCAAGTGCGCGATGACGCGAAACGACGACGGTTCATGTAGCACGTTAATCGACAGCTCTAACGTAAACAGTACATAACACTAAGGATTAAAGTACCGACTTTAGCGATAATAAAAATAAGAATAAAATAATAATAATAATAATAATAATAGTAGTAGTAATAATAATAATAATAATAATAATAATAATAATAATAATAATAATAATAATATTAATGATAATGATACAAAGTCTAGTAAAGAGCAAGCGCGATTCGTTGGTTCGCGCGATGAACGCAGTATCGCTGAGGTACAGTGTCGATGACATGCGCAACTCGCGTCCGCGTCGAAATGACCGAGTTAATCCGCTCGATCGGATGGACGCGCGTCCGCGCGTCAAACATTACAAATATAATTGCATACGTACACGCCGTATATGTGTGTATGCGCGTAATTATATAATATTAATAAAGATCGGGAGAGACAGAGAGAGAGAGAGACAGAGAGAGAGAGAGAGAGAGAGAGAGAGAGAGAGAGAGAGAGAGAGAGAGAGAGAGAGAAGGGGGGAAGAGGGAGAGAGAGAGGGAGAGAAAATATAATGATTGTGTAAGAGGATACAAGATATATATATATATATATATAGAGAGAAAAGACACAAGGGGCAAGAGAAACTAAAAGGGGAAGAGAAAAGAAAGAAGAGAAAATGATCAGCGAAAATATATGCGATTAGAGTGCATCATCATCAAAAGATCGTTTCGTTCAAGAGACAAGCGGATATTCGAAGGATCCGTTCGATCGAAAGCTGTCGGGGCTGGATACGAGCTACGACTCTCTTACATTGTTACATTTGCTCTTATCTTTTCTTTTATACGTGATATTATACAGCGAGCGAGATTGCGCGCGTGTACACACGCGCGTGAATTCTTACTCGCAACGATTGATTTTGTGTCTACATACGGGCGACCGTGATCCAGCGGCCGTGATG